GCACAGACCCTGTCCACACAGACCCTGTCCGCACAGACCCTGTCCGCACACACTGCCTCGTCTGCAGATTACAGTCCTTTCTCTGTCCGACATAAAATCAAATCCTTTGAGAATCTGGCTAATGTTGACAAGCCCCTGGTGAAAAGCAGTGATCCTCAGCCGTATGCGCTGGCATATAGAGCCCCGCTGAACCAAAGGATTGCAGGTTATATGGAACTGGTTAATGCTGTTGACTTCCGGACACGGCAAAGGAGTTTTAGCTCTTATGTGGAAAATCTGCTTCCAGCCACATCCTGTTCTCTTCGTCTTCATAAGTCTTCTGAGAATGAAGTTCACAAAGCTCCAGATGGGGCTGCACCACACACTCCTCCAGTGCTGCGCAAGAAACATGGCAGACTTCTCTACAGTAGGTTACGGCAGCTCAGGGCTCTCAGCATGCCTGAGCTGGAAAAACTGTGCAAAGAGGACGCTGCAGGAGGGCGCAGCAATGCAGATAAAACAGACTCTGACACCCAGTCCACTATAGCCCCAGTGACTGACAGCTTTCCAACCTGTGCAACTCCAATGAAAGCAGATTTGAACAGCGTTAACCACAGTGAGGCTGAAGTCACTGAAAAGACTGCTCAGAGGACCCGAGAGACCCATGGCCGGCAGCTCGGCTGGTCCATCAGGTGAGACTTTAAACCAGTCATTGTAAATCACAGCAGCTGCTTTGCTCCAAACATAACTGTGAAATGTGGGTGAAAAAAACACATTAAATGTCCTGATTCGATGGCTTTTTCTCTGCAGTTTAGAGGAGCTGTCGGCTTCACCTGTGAGTCAGTGTAAACTGCAAACACTGCTGTCCTCACTAACAGCGAAAGCTTACATATCAACCCTGCTTCAGCAAACCAAGGTAATGTCTCACTGCAGATACAGAGTCCAGCTGAGTTTGAGTTTTCTTTATTTGTCTCTCTGTGTGTTTTGCAGACTAACAGAAATACTCGTCTTGTTGTCCTGAGTAAAGGAGAAGGTTCAGGACTTGGTTTCAGTATTGCTGGAGGAGTTGACCTCGAGCAAAAGGACATAACTGTAAGTACAAGATGTTGAATCTCTGTTCAGATTCACATCCTTCAGATTTAAACAATAATGAACGGTGACTGTTGCAACAATTTAAAGTACATTTTCTTGCACATTCATTTACTTGCCTTGAATGCCTCACTAAGATATGAAGATTCAGTTAGTCCAGAAAATCTCAAGAAAAGTTTCTTCAAGAGCAAAATGCACCAAACAGTGTGACAAAGCCCACTCTGCTGAGGGAAAGTTCATTAGAGTCACCAGCTACAGAGGTCAAAGGTTACCAGCAGCTCAGATTACAAAACACAAAAAGCCTTTCAAAACTTCAAGCAGCAGACGTTTGAGGACTTACAGGATCTATTAGGACTTACAGAACGTTTGAGGACTTACAGGATCTTTAAGGGCTTACAGGAATTTGAGGACTTACAGGACCTTTGAGGACTTACAGGAGTTTGAGGACTTACAGGATCTTTGTAGGACTTACAGGCCTAGGACTCAGTTTGAGGACTTACAGGACATTTGAGGACTTACAGGACCTTTGAGGACTTACAGGATCTTTTGAGGACTTACAGGACCTTTGAGGACTTACAGGAGTTTGAGGACTACAGACTTTGAGGACTTACAGGACCTTTGAGGACTTACAGGACCTTTGAGGACTTACAGGATCTTTGAGGACTTACAGGACTTTGAGGACTTACAGGTCTTTGAGGACTACAGGACCTTTGAGGACTTACAGGATCTTTGAGGACTTACAGGATTTGAGGACTTACAGGACCTTTGAGGACTTACAGGATCTTTGAGGACTTACAGGACTTTGAGGACTTACAGGACCTTTGAGGACTTACAGGACTTTGAGGACTTACAGGATCTTTGAGGACTTACAGGACTTTGAGGACTTACAGGACCTTTAGGACTTACAGGATCTTTAGGACTTACAGGACCTTTGAGGACTTACAGGCGTTTGAGGACTACAGGACTTGGCTTACAGATTTGAGGACTTACAGGACCTTTGAGGACTACAGGACTTTGAGGACCTCTACAGGACTTTGAGGACTTACAGGCCTGGGTTACTCTTTGAGGACTTACAGGACTTTGAGGACTTACAGGACCTTTGAGGACTTACAGGCTAGACTCAGTCTTGAGGACTTACAGTTGAGACCGGACTTTGAGGACTTACAGGATCTTTGAGGACTTACAGGACCTTTGAGGACTTACAGAGTTTTGAGACTTACAGGACTTTGAGGACTTACAGGACCTTTGAGGACTTACAGGACCTTTGAGGACTTACAGGACTTTGAGGACTTACAGGACCTTTGAGGACTTACAGGACTTGGGCTTAAGGCTTTGAGGACTTACAGGATAGGCACATTTGAGGACTTACAGGTTGAATTACGGTTTGAGGACTTACAGGACCTTTGAGGACTTACAGGATCTTTGAGGACTTACAGGACTTTGAGGACTTACAGGACTTTGAGGACTTACAGGACCTTTGAGGACTTACAGGACCTTTGAGGACTTACAGGATCTTTGAGGACTTACAGGATCTTTGAGGACTTACAGGTCTTTGAGGACTCACAGGACCTTTGAGGACTTACAGGATGCTTTGAGGACTTACAGGACCTTTGAGGACTTACAGGACCTTTGAGGACTTACAGGACTTTGAGGACTTACAGGACTTTGAGGACTTACAGGATCTTTGAGGACTTACAGGATCTTTGAGGACTTACATGATCTTTGAGGACTTACAGGACCTTTGAGGACTTACAGGGATCTTTGAGGACTTACAGGACCTTCTGAGGATCAGAATCAGAATCAGAATCAGAATCAGAATGAATGGGTTTATTGCCAGATGTTGAGGTTTACAACATTAGGAAATTGCTGCGGTGCTTCAGTGCAAACAATAAGAATTAAAGTGCTATGTAGAAAGAAAGATATGTGCATGAGATATACATGAGATATATACATGAGAATAAGAATTATGAGTGCTACGTAGAAAGATATATACATGAGTGCAGGTGGTGATCAGTGCCAAACATGAAATGATGCAGTGACACAGCGTAGGGTCATGTGTTAGTGGCGGGGACAGTCATGTGGTTATTGTTCATGTGTCCAACAGCAGAGGGGAAGAAACTGTTCTTATGGCGAGAGGTTCTGGTGCGAATGGACCGGAGCCTCCTGCCTGAGGGGAGCAGGTCAAACAGACTGTGTCCAGGGTGAGAAGGGTCAGCTGAGATCCGGGCTGCACGCCGCAATGTCCTGGAGGTGTACAGGTCCTGCAGAGATGGGAGTCTGCAGCCAATCACCTTCTCAGCAGAGCGCACAACACGCTGCAGTCTCTGTTTGTCCCTGATAGTGGCTCCAGCGTACCACACGGTGATGGAGGAGGTGAGGATGGACTCGATGATTGCAGTGTAGAACTGCATCATCGTCCGTGTTGGCAGGTTGAATTTCTTCAGCTGCCTCAGGAAGTACATCCTCTGCTGGGCTTATCTTGATACGGAGTACCTTTGAGGCCACTTCAGGTCCTGGTATGGTACGGACGTTACAGGATCTTTGAGGACTTACAGGGTTTTGAGGACTTACAGGAGTTTGAGGACTTACAGGAGTTTGAGGACTTACAGGAGTTTGAGGACTTACAGGACTTTGGACTAATTTTGAGGACTACAGGACCTTTGAGGACTTACAGGGTCTTTGAGGACTTACAGGATCTTTGAGGACTTACAGGACTTTGAGGACTTACAGGACTTTGAGGACTTACAGGCTTTGAGGACTTACAGGATGTTTGAGGACTTACAGGATCTTTGAGGACTTACAGGATCTTTGAGGATCACAGGACCTTTGAGGACTTACAGGAGTCTTTGAGGACTTACAGGATCTTTGAGGACTTACAGGACTTTGAGGACTTACAGGACCTTTGAGGACTTACAGGACCTTTGAGGACTTACAGGACCTTTGAGGACTTACAGGATGTCTTGCTAACATTTTGGTGCCACAGCACAGCTTCAGGTCCAGTGGAGTCTTGATGGCTTAGCCCTGTTTTGGCAGCAAAGGGGGATTGACACAATATTAGGCAGGTGGTCATAATGTTGTGTTTGATCAGTGCACTTAATTAGTTCATGGCAGATGCAGAAAGGACTGGTTAACCTGAGAGCAACAGTGATCGACTGAAGTTAGTCACATATTGCTCAGTGAGTAACTGTCACTGTTGCACCAACTCACCGTGACCTCTCACAGTTTTGTAAAGGCCATGATCCTCCAATAATTCAGGAGACCCATCTGCTTAATGAACACATAATAAATGTATTTAATACATGACTGAATGATATGTATTATTAATATGTTTTTGTCCTCAGGTTCATCGGGTCTTCACGAAAGGTGCAGCTGGTCTTGAAGGTACAATCCAAAGAGATGACAGCATTTTATCCATAAATGGCACCAGTCTGGAGGGTAAAACACACGCAGAGGCTAGATCCTGTCTTCATCAAGCCAAGCAGTCCAACCAGGTCTTAGTGGTCATTCACAGAGACAAAGACAGTGTGCAGTGTATCTCTGACAGACAAGCCTCGGCTACCCAGAAGTCTTTGGAGCGTAGCGGAGGTAGGTTTCCATCTCCAGTGGGTACACAGAGCTTCCTGGAATATTCTCATTGGCTGTAACATCGGTTTTAAATCACTCTGATGCTGACTGACTTAGAGTACTTCTTTCGTCAGAGCATTTGACCCTTTTAAATACAAACATTAACCTTGCAAACAGCTCTGCCCGTGGTGTGGTTTCTGCAATCAGCTGAAGTCCAGCGGTCAGCAGCAGCATCCTCTCTTAGGTTTATATCTAACTTCTGTCCTTCTTGGTGTGGGATGTCTTTCAGCTGTGGATGTCAGTCCAGATGGCGCTGTAACAGTGGAGCTTCATAATACTTCTGTTGGACTGGGCTTCAGTCTGGAGGGGGGCAGGTCTTTGAGCCACGGAGACAGGCCTCTCACTGTCAAACGCATCTTTAAAGGTGACTTTTTCTTCTCAGACAAAATGCACACACACTGTGACGTCACAGTGTGTGTGCCGCTGTTAACAATGAACACAAGGTTTCCATGTGACGTAAACTGTGTCTTTGTAACTGCTGGTGTCACAGACGATAATGTTAACATGAATACTGATTCTTGTTTGTTAAAGATTTTATCACATAAACCTTCGGGCTCAAACATAAACATAATGCTACATAGATAACTAGCTTAGCAAACAAATTCAGTCTGGTGTGAATCACAGGGAACATGACTAAAGTCGTTCCACCTCCTGTGTTTCAGTGTACACTCCTTCCTGGTTTCATTCATGCTTTCTTAAAAAAATCCCAAAACGGTCATTCTCTTATTTTGTAGGTGCATTTGTAATGAACAGCAGGGATCAGGGGATAGGGCACACTCACTGCAATTCTTGGGACTTTAATCATGAAGCTACAGCAGCAGTTCTGTTTGCATTTGCACAAACTTAACGTATATTTTTCCGGGTCTTTAGCCACAGACACAGATACTTTCATCAGTGGGACACAGAGTGGACGCTACCTTTGTTCGTTCATTCAGTAAAAGTTAGTGATTGAAGCCGACTTCAGTGCAGTGTTTGAGCATCAGAAGAGAAAGTAAACACAGCCATCACAGTGAGATCAGTTTATTTTCTTTACCTCTAATTTCTTTAAGAGCTTTAATAGCTGTAGTGCTACTGGGAGAAACACAAAATCTAAGCTGTTTACACTGTGTCTGCCTTAAATCAAACAACGTGACTGTTATAACAGCATTGACATTTCTGTTTGGATGGAAACTTGTTTCCCCCACAGCATTTTCCTCTTGTGGTCAAAATTTGTTGCATAACTTAAAATTTGTGGCACTTAGGTTAGCACGGTTACCTCACAGTAGGAAGGTCCTGAATTCAGTTGTCTGTGTGCACGTTCTCCCCGTGTTTGCCCGGGTTCTCTCTGGCTTCATCCCACAGTCCACAGACATGCAGTCAGTCGGGTTGGGTTAACTGGTGATTCTAGATTGTCCACAGGTGTAACTGTTAGTGTGAATGGTTGTCTGTCTTCCTGTGACAGACTGGTCACCTGTCCAGGGTTTACTCTGCCTCTCGCCCTATGATAGCTGGGATAAGCTCCACCCCCCTGCGACCCTGATAAGGATAAACAGAAGAGGATGAATAGATGGAACGCTGGAAAGTTCAACAAAATCAAACTTTACATTTGTTGAACTTTGACCTCAGTGACCATGACAGCTGCATGCGTGTTTTCTTGGAACGGCCACACTGAAAGTAATGATTGCAGTGTATCCTGTGTGAAAGTACCTTTATTATTTATTTAAACACAAATCTTTGACTTAATTCAAATAATGAGAGTCTGTGAGATATGCATATATTAGAGGAGAAATCAGAGGCTTAAATCTGACAGACACTGACAGGGAAGGTTGGTTATAGCCAGGTGAATGGCCATCTCTCAAATCATAGCTATAATTTGAATATATCTTCAGCGTGTAGATCATAAGTAGACCAGAGTAAAATAAGGAGCTTTATCTGAGTCTGAATTGCTGTTCATGTCTAACACAGGAGGAGCTGCAGAGCTTTCCGGGCTTATCGAGGTTGGCGATGAAGTCCTGTCTATCAATGGCGGTTCTCTGGAGGGACTCATGCACCATGATGCCTGGAAAATGATCAAAGCCACTAATGAAGGGCCTAACCAGCTCCTCATACGCAAGCAGAGCAATGTGATGGTAAAAAACAAGGAAACGGAGTCCTGACAGGCTCTACTGTTCAAGCGGATACGTTTAAAAAAAGCAGTTATACATTTTGATGGTTGGACTTTTTGGTTAGCCTTTTTAAAATATCTTTGTATTTAATAATTGGCTGGACACTATTGTGGTGCATAATACGTAATTATGATTTTTCGAATGAAGAGTTCAGTTTATTTATAATAAATTAACTTTTGAACACTCAGAAATAATACATTTGTAAGGCATTCCTTTTTTAAAATAAAGTTGATATGTTGACAGAAAATTTGCAGGTGACTGTGGCTCTAGCATTCCAGCTTATACATCCACACTATATGCCTCTGTACCTACTCACCTATATGGACATCAAGACGAGGGAGCTCTTTGCCATTAATGGAGGAATTCAGGTATCGGGTATGAAGGTAGCCGATATGGACAATGGCTCCATCCGGTGCTGCAGCCATCTTTCCAGTGCTGGACACAGATATGTATATATATACGTACATGTATATCGTTAGCTTCATAGCATAAGTGCCTAAGTCATTTTTTGGTCAAATTGAGATTTTTGCCTAACTTTACTCCCCTACCACTGCTGCATCATCCTGTCCGTCTGCCTACTGTCTCTCTCT